GGTTATTTGTCTTCTATTTATGTGTAGCTAGAACACTGTGAACAACACAAAGTTGTCAATATCTGTGAGAAGACAACCAAGGCTTAGGCCAACTTGCTACACCATGAACAAAATTCTAGATTGTGTTTTAGGATAGTACGATAATATGGGAAGGCTTTGAGTTTGGAAAGCATAGAGTGAATGGATTCCTCCAGTCATAGGTTGAAAATATTCAGGAAGAAATGATGTGTTTAATGAAACGTGTATATATGGTTTCTACATAGTGTGTGTGTGGAGATCAAAGAACAACTTTTGGGGTCTATTCTCTCCTTCCACTATGTGAGTTCTGGCCATCACGTGCTTTTATCCACTGATCCATATCAATGGCCTAACTTTTTTCTTGCCACTCTCCAGACAAAACAGTATAGCAATCACAGTGAATACATTGCATTAGTTATTGTAACTAACCTTGGGGGGGCAGATTATATACAAATTCAATTCCATTTTATAGAATGGCCTTGTGCATCTACAGATTGAATATCTACAGTTCCTGAAACCAAGCACCTGCAGACACCAAAAGACAAAGATATATGACCTTGTGAAATATAGACTGCTGTGTCAACTGCTAAAAAACAAAAACAAAAACAAAAACAAAAACAAAAAAACAAAACAAAAAAAAAACTGTATCATATGGGCATTGGCCAGTTTCTCATCGCTGCAGCAAAATACCTGGCACAGGTAGGCAAGTTAAGGGAGAAAAGAATTGTTCTGGCTCATGGTTGTAGAGGTGTAATATCATGGTAGGAGGGGAAGGTAGAGCAGATCTCACCTGTGTTGGATTGGGAAGCAAAAAGACAGAATACCAGCACTACACGGCTTTCTCCTTTTCCTTCTAGTCCATCCAGCCCATGCCCCATGTGATGGTGTCTCCTGTATTCAGGGTGGCTTTGTCCTCCTTACTTAAGCCCCTTGGGAAAGGCCCTCACAGACAGAGCCAGAGTGTGACTTTCTAATATCCTAGGTGCTCAATCTAAGCAGGCTGGCAGTCACGATTAATTATCACACATCAGCAATAAGAACATAATGATTGATTACTACATGGGAAAGATCAAGCCAATACCAGCAAGACAGTTCAATACTAGTTACAAAGAGGAAGGGAAGTTTAAAAGCTCTCAGAACAAGAGCTAGAGAGATGGTTCTGTAGTTAGAAGCACTTGTTATTTGTCCAGAAGATCCAGGTTTGATTCCCAGCACCTATGTGGCAGTTCTCAACCATCCCTGTAACTTGAGTTCCAAAGGATCTGGCTCCCTCTTCTGGCTTCCACAGGCACTGCATACAGAGTGTGCACAGATGCACATGCAGACAAAACACCCACACACATAAAATTTAAATTTAAAAAGACATTTCAGAACAAGACCAGATGTACTGCAAGGAACTTAAGGTACTTACATATGTGGCAGACAACTCCTGCTGGAAGGAAACAGCAGAAGAACAAAGAGACCAAGTGCTCTGATTTTCAACAGAGGAGATGAGGAAGTGGCTTGTAAGAACTGGAAATGAGTACATTTCCCAAAGCCCCAAAACTTACCAAAGGAACACTTAAATGCTGCTGGCAAATCGTCAGAACAGGGCTGGCAAAATGTTCATGGAGTAAAGGCCCTTGCACCAAGCCTAGTGACCTGAGTTCCATACATAGGATCCCCGTGGTGGAAGGAGACAACCAAGCTGTCTTCAGACTTCCATAAACATGCTGGGACACACATCAGCCCATATATAAGATATAAGCACATATGCACACACAAAATAAGTAAGTCAAATGTAATCAATTTTTAATGTGCGGCATTGACCCTGCTTCTTTCCTACAGATTATCATAAATCTAATTATTGCCTTCTAGTCTAAATTTCAAAATGTATCATACTACATACGTACAAGTAGGAAAATGTGTTTGGGTCTCTGTGACAGAGCTATTTACTTGAAAATGAAAAAAAAATTAAACTAGAGTGCCATTTTAGGAACATGCCGGGACCTACTATCTGTTTTGTTTTTATCTGTTCATTTGCTAAAAACTTTGTCTATAGATTAAGTGATTTTCTTTTCCTCCCTTTATTCTTCTCTCATACATTACATCCCCTCTGCTGTTTCCTCTCTCTTCTCTTCACTCCTCCAAGTCCATCTCTCCCCAACTTCCCTTTCCCCCAGATCCACTCCTCCTCCATATCCCTTCAAAAACAAAACAAAAACAAAACAACAACAAAAACCAACCAACCAAAACAAAACAAAACAAAAAGAGCAGGCTTCCTCAGGGAATATCAGCCAAACATGGCACATGGTCTAACAAGTTACAAAAAGGCTAGGAACAAATCCTTATATCAAGGCAAGATGAGACAAACCAGTAGGAGGAAAAGGGTCCCAACCCCTGGCAAAAGAGTCAGAGGCATTCCCAACTCCCATTATTGGGAGTCCCACAAGAATACCATGCTACACAACAATAAGGCAATGATCTAGCTTAGACCCTTACAGGGTCTGTGGTTGTTGCTTCAGTCTCTGTGAGCCACTATGAATCCTGCTTAGTTGGTCCTGTGGGCTGTGTTCTTGTGGTGTTCCCTGCCCCCCTGGCTCCTACAATCCTCCCTTCTCCTCTTCTGCAGGGTTCAGATGAAGTGATTTTCATGCCTACAAATGAAATCAAACTTAAGCAGGAAAATTTAGTTCATGGTTGAATTGAGATTCAATATAAATATTAATAGAATATGAAGGCTAGAACTAATAAATCTTAACAGTAATTGCAAAGTTTCATAACAAAATTTCCCAAATTCTACATACAAGTACAAAATGACTCTGCAACAAATCAGGTGAAAAATACTTCTGATTGTAACTGAACGTAAGCCTATTATGGTAGATCAGACATATATTAATAAATTTTGCCTCCTAAGCAACTGTGTTCCAATTCCACCGGATTTGTTCTGCTCTGACCACACAGAAAACCTTAGATCCTATTCATGACGTTACTAAAGATGCTAATGAATTAAAAATCTTACAAGAAAGTGACCAGCATGGTCTAGGGTTGGAATTGACTAGAAAAAAAAAGTGTACAATAAGGAAGCTTAATCCCCCAAAAAAAAAAAACTCTCATGATGGAACATGGAGGAAATAATTCCCTTATTAAGGAAAATGTGTTAAGAGCATTTAACGAAATTAGGGGAGGAAGGAGTGCAGAATTCAAATGAGTCCAGAGAACTTCCTTAACCACCAGCAGGGGTTACGTTGTGAAGAGTCTGCTGTCATAACAAGAAGGTTCAAACTCACGCATCAGGGATGTTCCTCACTAGCTCATGAGTTGGAAAAAATGTTGCTAGATACTCAACACAAGATGGCATTTATGACTCCATGTCTCTCTCTGCCCCAACCTGGTTGGGGATCCTCTGTGACTCTGTGTGTGACATTTTAGTAAGGAGCATTTCCTGCCTACAGTTCATTTACAATCAGCTGTTCCTCTGCATTCCCTTTCGAAATTATCAGTGTTAAGTCCCCCCCTTTCAGCGAGAGAGCAGGAGAAAAGAGAGCCGGAGCTGGGGCCAGGCTTTCCCTTCGATTCCAAGCATACCTACTCTGTTAAATCAAGTCGAGTTTATAACTGAGTGTAAAGGTTCAGGTTTCCCTTCCAGAAATAGGGCGGGGATGCTCAGCAGCTGCTAGGACTAGGGAGTGGCTAAGAGTTGGAAAACGCCTCAACACCATCTATCTGCCTTTTACAAATGGTTACGAGGGGGATTCAAAACAAAACAAAACAAAACTAGAGAAGCGGAAAATCGGCCTTTATCCGCACTCCAAAGCTTCTCTCAAGCCGGCCTTTGCATCCAGGCTGAGCGATGAGGTGGGAACAGGTGTGCCAAACCCTACCCCACTTGCCATAAGCAGAAATTGTCTTGCTGTGCCGCTTGAGAAACCATTAGTCTAGGCAAGACAAAGGCTAGGCAGAGAAGCCGGGGATCGGGGATTGGGGGGGAGGAGGGGGAGATGAGGTGGAGCGCAAAGAGAAGCCAGCCAGGAGCCAACCTAGCACTATGAACATTATAGATGACATCATTGCTTCAAAGAGATGTGTTCCTCCCTTTCCCAGAGCAAGCCTATTTGGGAGGCAGCAGGAGTAGTGTTGCCTGGAAGAGGTGACTTGGTGGGTAGCTGTGTGTCCACAACCCAGAAAGAAGCCCAGGCAGTAGGAGACCGGCTGACACTCAGCTAGCCCGACAAGAAATCACCTCCGCTGGAGGTGTTTGCACTGAGGCGGGCTCCGCCTCCTCTTCTCAGCGCGCCAGCCCTGGGAGGGGCACGCCGGTTTAGGGGAGGGAAATGTGTGTCCAAGGGGGAGGGTCCGTAGCGACCGTGGCGGTGGAGAGCCGCTTGCGCATGTCAAGGATAGCAACTCATTCGGCAAGGGGACGGCCCTGGAGAGGGGCGGCTTGATCACCCAATCACCCAGCGCCAGAGCTCCACAGGCTCCAGGGGCGCGCTCCACGGAAGGGGTTCCTTCCCTCTACCACCCTCCACCTCTGACATCAACAACCCTACGGAAGCTTTCGCTTCTTTTCCAGCCCCTCCAGAACCTCCCGGGAATCCGGGCTCCTGTGTACAAGACTGAGGTGGAACAAATTTTGTAGCCCAGACGACGGCTGGAGTCGGGACACACCCAGCTGGAGAAGCCTGCTGGAGCTCCTGAGGCTCAGTGGATCTAAGTCGGAGTGTTGCTGTCCCTAGGGAAGGCGAGAGGTGAATCAACATGACTCCTTCGACAGCCGAGCATCCCCGCGCCCGCTGAGCGCTTCCCTTCCCAGCCCACTTTGCTTTGGTTGCTAAAGCTAGACGCAGGGGAGAGATTGGAATTCCAAGATCCGGGTGGGCGGGGAGGCTACTGTCCGTGGTGCTGAGCCAAGCCCGGGGACTCACTCCAGCGAGAGAGCACGAGGGTGGCCTGAGCTGACACCCACTGGGCTCCAGATCCCGCAGACCCCCCCCCCCAGGCAGGGCGCATGACCTTTTGTTCTTCCTCCCACTCAGAAGATCTCTCCCTTAGGGGTTTGATCCCTAAGGGTTTCCTCGAAAGAATCAGAGGGCGAAGTCCTTGACAGAGATTCTCTGTTTAGCTTCAGAAACCGCTCACGGAAAAAGATGCCTGCCTTCAACAGATTGCTTCCACTAGCTTCTCTCGTGCTCATCTGCTGGGGTAAGTACAGCACCCTGCCCTGCAATGTGCAGATAACAGGCACTGTGTAACAATAATAACACTTATTTATGTCGCTGGTGACAAAAAGGGAGTTCGCTTGGCTTCCTTCCGTGCATGTCTGCCAGACATGGGTGTCCACATGTGCTCCCAGAGAACTGGTTTTGGAGATTGCAAAGGCACCTCCCCCACTGCCCTGTGGCTTGATTTCTTTTCTTTCTCTAACCTTCTTTGGTGCTTCTCCCAGCCTCCCTCCTTTCCTAATTAATCCTATTTTCTCTTCCTAGCTTTTCCCTTTGCTGAAAAGGAATGTATCACATTCATTATTTTAAAATTCTTGCTTGCATTTACATTGTGTTACTCAGTGAAGGGTCAGTTATGAACATTTCAGTGGGTTGAGGGGTCATTTCTCTCTACTTAAAAAAAAAAAAAACACAAAAACTGGATGCATGAATTTTGAGAGAGAAAATACTGTAGTTCATTCATCTGTTAAATTTTAAAAAGAGAATGGGTGAGATAGTGGCTCAAGCCATTTGCTAGTGTGCCTTTATAGATGGGAAGTGCATTTAGTTTGCAAGAACATTTAGAGCTGAGGTGCTTTGGTATTCGGTGAGCTGGGTTGCTTTATTTGCTTGCTGGAGTTTTGGGGGTTTTGTTTTGTTTTCTCTTGGTTGTCACCTGTGAGAGACTGAGATGGCATTGCCCCTCCAGCTAAGGGACTTGTGACAATAATGCTGGGCTAAACAGCTTCATGTATAGCTTACAAGGTACCTGAATGAGTGCTAAGGGAACTGGGCATCTAGGTACTAATAAAATGCTGTAATACACACAGTATTTTATTGTGTGTAAATGTATGTATGCACTAGCATTCTTCTGAGCATATTAGTATGAGTATCTAAATAGACTAGTGAGACTCAGCAGAGAGAGAGAAAGAGAGAGAGAGAATGTTTCTGACATGTTTGCTTTCATGTCTCCGATCCAGCCCTCAGATCAAGTAAGTATAGATGCTTTTCAGTTCATAAGTCAGTTTATGTTGGTTTAGCTACATTTCTCCATACTCAAATATAACAAAAAACAAAAACAAAAAACATAGGGCTTGTGTCTACCTTCCTTATAGAAAGTAGGTTTGTGGGTTTATGGCCCTGTACTGGGCTTGGCTCCCATTCTGCCTGGGCAATGGCAGGCATGCCTCTTTGCCTTAGTATCACTTTGTCAAGCCTTGGATAGGAATTGTGGTTGCATGTGTTATTTGGATTTTGCATGTGACCAGAGAAAGAGCCCAGTTTCCTGTTGAACAAAATGTCTAGTGAAACAAGAATAGGAAGGAAAAGGAAGAAAATAATGCCAACCCCAAGGGCACATTCACAGTAGCCTATTCCCCGAAGACTACAGCATACTTGGACATAATGCGCTCAATGAGCTCACCTGTCTTGAAGATCAAGGCTGCTTGCTATTTGCTCCAGGGAAATACTCGGGCTGTGAGCCTTAGAATTTAGTCTCGAAGGATGAAAGAAAGCATGAGCGAGGTTAATTTGTAGAGAAGGGTTGAAGGAGGTCTGTAGAGAATTTTTTCCAAAATCTAAATTCTTAAGGTTCTTTCCTGAATTCCAGGGGTGGGGGCATGCTGCATTCCCAGCAGTTTTTCATTAGGACCCACCCAGCTCCAGTTTGCATCTTGCCTCTATTAGTTCTACTACTTCATTTTTATTAGGTAACATCCTCAGAAAGCCTGATAAAGGTGAAGTTTGAACACTGTCGCAGTCATAGGTAACATCCTTCTCAGACAAAATATTGCTAGAATTTGCAGTGGGCCCATCATCCCTACTCCCTTAAAATCTTTGGGGACAACTAACAGTATAGGTCACATCTATCCTTGCTCATTCCAAGATTGTGTAACCCAAACATTGGTTCAGCAAAAGGGTCTCAGAATGCTTGGTGGTCTGTGTAGAGGGAAGAGCCTTAGTCACAAGTACAATTTTACTTTATTTGCATATAATTCTTATATTCACTAGGTCTTTTGATCAGCACATCAAGGAGGGGTGATGTGAGAGTTATTTCCACTTTATGAATGAGAATATGAGTTCATAAAGGGCTGAGGGCTTGCTAGAGAGCAGCTGTCTTCCTGATTTCCACCTTCGAGCACCCTGTTGTAGACACACGTGATGCTGTGTGCAACTGTCAATTGGACATTAATCCTGGAATTTCTCCTGTGAGCCTTTCTCTCATTCCCCAACACCACCACCTTCCCTAGGGCTTCACCCATCCTTTAGCGCCTAGTGCCTTCTCTACTTTTGCTCTCCAAGGGTCCCTGGTATTGGGGGAGTATTCTTCTTCCTTTGGCAGCCCTTCCTGGATCTCATTCCTTCAAGACTCTGCTAATCTGATAGACCAAATTGTTTCAGGATGTTAATGTCTAAAAATAATTTTATTCATGCCCCCCAGCACATTATTTACATTATAATTAAAGCCTTATTATCTTACTGTGGAAGAAGCATTCTAAGAAAAGCTCAGAAAGAGAAAGATCTGGAAGGAACAGAGGAGTTGGTTTTTTTGGGGGGGGGTTGTTGTTGTTGTTTGTTTTTGTTTTAGTTAGTCTGTCGTCCTTCATTCATCACATTTTTTTTTTCTCATGATTGTCTTCCTTGTTACTTTAGAAATGAAGGTGCATTCCAAGGTCAATGATGCAGCCCACATCATTCCAAGATTATGATTTATAGCTAGTGATATGGGTTGACCTCTTCCATGTATTCCACTTTTTGTGGGTATCTAGATATTGCCACAGGGAAAAAAGGCAGTGGCATGCGTGGTGGAGAAACGGACCTCACTGTTGACAGAAGGAGCAGGAGGTCCTATTGCAGGGTGCAAGCAAATGAGGTGAGAGAATTTTGTGGCAATTTTACAATGTGTTGTCTGGGAATGCAGGAGCAGAGTTCTCTTACCTGGAAACTGAACTTTGGCCAGAAGGGTCACAGTGGGTGTGCTCTCCAAGGACAGTGTAAAGAGGGTTAGCTACATACACTCCATACACTACCACCCACCTCCCTGACTGTGCAATGTGTTCCCTCCCTCACTTCAAATGAGTGGCTGTGCTCTTCCTCTGCCATCCAGTCTGTGTGTTCATGAGAACCCCCAATCTACCCACCATTGTTAAGCCATCACCTAGGCAAAAGATCTCCCAAACTTAACCACTGTACAACTTCTTTAAATTTTTTTTTAAAAGTTATTTCATGTGTGAGTGTTGGTGTGGAGGTATATGTACGTGTGTGGGTGTGCTAGCAGCTAGAGGTGGGTGTCAGATCCCCTGGAGCTTAAGTTACGGATAATTGTAAGGTACCTGACATGGATACTGGAAACCAAATTCAGGTCCTTTATAAGAACAGCAAGTACTCTTATCCATTGAGCCACCTCTTTGGATGCCCAAAAAATTTTATTTAACTTATTTCTTGGGTGGGGGGAGTACATGCCATTGTGCACATATAGAGGGGTCAGAAGATAATTTAAGTGAGTCGGTTCTTTCCTTCTACTGTGTGGCACCCGGAGGTTGAACTCAGGTTTGTTCAGCTTGGCTGAAAGTGGCTTCATCAGCCGTACCATCTTGGCAGCCCCTGTACCAAACTCTTATCATTCTTTCTGCTTGTACCTTTGAATCTGCCTCACCTGCCTATTTATTCTCCCCTTGGCACACTGACCATGCAGCATAGTGAAAATCACATTATTCAACTCAAGGTTGCCTAGTTTGTGATGTGCAAAAGTCAAAGCTCCAACTGTGGCCTGCGGAGATGGGGCCCTCGCCTCCCTCGCCCTTCTCTTTTCTCCGTTTTCACTGTTTGCTGGTTTCCCACACTGGGCCTTGCTGTTCCTTGAATATGGCAGGCATGCTCATTTAAAGCCTGGAATGTCTGTTTTCTCTTGCTTGTCATGACCTCATACAGACATCTCTGTGGCTTCTTCTTCCCCCCCCCCCCCCTCTCTTTCCCTTCAGTGGCTTCCCAGTGACCATACACTCTTAGTGAGGCCGGCCCTGATAATATGTTTTTCTCTCCTCTCCTTGCCTTGTCTCCTCTCCCCTCCCAGTCTCCCATCACCCTCTCCCTCTCCCCATTCTCTTCTCCCTCCTCTACTGTATTATTTTGTTCTGTAACCTACTTGTACCATCTCCATTGGAATTCAGGCCCCAAGAGAGCTGGGTTGGTTTTTGTCTCTGCACAGTGGATACTCAATACATTCGCCAAATAAATGGAAGATAAATACCATTACTAATGATATTTATCCAAAGCACAGCCGTGAATTAATCCATAGGATCTTCATGACCTATCTACAGGGCATTTTTTTAATTATTGAATAAACTGAGTCTCAGAGAAGTTAGGTAGTTAGTCAAATACAGTCCTTAAGTTTTCAAACACCACTCACCCTGCTTCTGTAGCTGTAGCTGTGCATTACTTGGGCCTTACCCTTTCAAGCCTCTGAGGCCTCTGATCACTTCTCATCAGGTATGAGGATCTATGTATACACTTTTACACAACAATATTCTTAGTTGCTTTTAAAGTAAGTCTAACCAGTTTCCCCAAGATGTGGACCCTTCTCCATTAAAACAACAAAACTGATCTTCTGTAGACCACTGAATAAGACTAGCTCACTTCTTTTGAGGGTTTAAAAGCCAATTAATATTTCCCCATTTAGAACATTTTTAAACTTTAATTGTACTGCCAACAGGCTCTAAATTCCAAGTTTAAAATGAAATATGCTGACATTGAGCTAGTTTTAAAATATCAGTGTGTATTGTCCCACCTTGTAGAGTTTGTGTCTATCATTAATTCCTAGACAGGGTCATCAGAGGATCCTTCAAAGTCCCGATGATGGTAGCTTTTGAATCTTCCAAATAATTAGGTATAAAAACTCTTACTAAATGGTTTTTTTTTGTATTTATGAACAGTTTCAGAATCTGAAAATAAATTTTATTTTTTAAGTTGTTATTTATTTTGAGACAGAGTCTCATGTAACTTAGGCTGGCCTCAAATACAATAAGTAGCAACGAAGACTCAATTTCTGATCCTCCTGCCTCAGTATCCTGAGGGCTGGGACTGCAGGCATGTACAACCACACCTGATTTATTCAGCGCTAGAACTTCATGTTAGGCAAGCACACTACCAACTGAGCTACAGCCCCAAACCAATCTTTGTTACTAATTTGTTTATTGGACACAGAGTTGTACTCAGTAGCCCACACTGCCCTCACACTTGCAGCAATCCTGGCTAAGAGAGATTTTCTAAAGTTAGGTTTGATGGCACATGTCTGTAGTCTCACCTCAAAGACAGAATCAGGAGGATTGTGAGTTCAAGGTTAGCATGGGCAATACAGTAAGACCCTGCCTCAAAACACAAAAGAAACAAAACAAAACAAAACAAAACAAAATAACTGCACTAAACTGATTTTTTAAAACTTTTAAAATTGATAATAATTGAATTTCTTTGCCATGTGTTAGTCTGAAATGTTTGAAGACAACTCTGCCCTGTGTGCCCGTTCCCACATTTGTTCCTCACCGGGTCTTGTTGATGGCCCTTCCTGATCACCTCTGGCTGTGCACTCTCTGAACAGCCTCCTTTTGTTCAATGTGACATGCCGAGCTGATGGTACCATCCAGATTTGTTCTGAACATTGAAGAATTACCCCCTCCTTCCTCTGCACACTGTACATCTGTTAATGCATCCCACATTTGTTCATGCTTTGTTGGCATCTCTGTCCTGCTTTTGATTCATTCCAAATTTGCAGTCTGACACAGTCACCTTCTTTCTTTGGACTTGGAGTTTCTAGAAGGAAGGAACCAAAAGTCCAAACCTCCATGTGTCTGATCATCTGACCCCTCCAGCATTTGAATTTTGTCTCTCTACTCTGCACAGGTCTTGCTCCAGACTAAGTGGTCCATTCATCATATTCACACTGATGCTGCTCCATGCTCCATGGGTCCCCAAATACCAATCTGATTCCCTCTCACCTTGGCTTTAGAGCCCTCAATATATTATACCACAAAGCACATAAAGGTCTTTTCAGCATGAGTCTTATCTGCCTTTCTTCATGTCCCACCAGTCCTTTCTTCTCCCCAGCCCAAGCACTAGTAACTGATTGCACATTACTAACATGACCTCTTGTGTATTCTGGTTGAATCACCACAAGAAATGCATTCTCTGCTAGGTTATAGATGCATGCAAAGCGTGGCTAGTGTCTTGTTCATTCTCGGGTCTCTAATTTAGCATCAGACCTGGCAAAGAATGTATTTTCATGTCTCCTGAATGAATGATCAGTGAACGGACAGTTGATGGATGGAAGCATGGTCTGTCTCCCACTAGACTTCAAGGCTTTGAGGTTAGGCTCGAGTCTGTCCTGTGCTGCATCTTCATGGCTTCCAAAAACTTCCAGTCAGTGTTGAAGGACCCACCTCTTCACCATCTTACTCTAGACCCATTCTGATCACATGTACTCAAGGAACCCCAGCAACAGGTACACACGTGGGTCTTGTTATTTTCAAGTCTCATGATTCTTTCTTCTCTGTCTTTCCTCCCTCCCTCCTCATTCCCCAATGCCCACTCTGGCTGTTCCCTTCTTGTCACCCATCCTCTCTCCAGTCAGAGTCTGCTTCCCTGTGTGTGTGGAAGTACCCTCGGAGACGGAAGCCGTGCAGGGCAATCCCATGAAGCTGCGCTGCATCTCCTGCATGAAGAGGGAGGAGGTGGAGGCCACCACTGTGGTGGAATGGTTCTACAGGCCTGAGGGCGGTAAAGATTTCCTTGTATGTCAGATTGCTGCCTCTGGCCTTTCTTGTGCTGTTGTATGCCTGGGTGATGATGTCCTGACATGACATTCATTCCTCTCCTGAGCACTAACATCACCTCAGCAGATAACTGACAGCCTTATAGTATCCCAGGGTCTTTACAAGGCAAGCCACTTGGCCATCTATGCACAGCCCTGGTTACAAGCATGAGAAGAGGTACAAAGAAGTAAATGTGTTGAGAGAGTCTGTGTAGGCTAGACACCCTAGTAGACCTCTTACAGGTGTGTTCATCTTCCACACAATCCTGTGAAATGGATTTAATGCAGCTTAAAGAAAGAACACAGGCAGCTTTATGTAAGCAGCCCAGGTGAGCTCCTTCCACTCTCACAGTCCCAGTGAAGTAGGAGCAACTGGGATGACCAAAGTGGATCAACAGATATGCCCAGGACAGTCTCCTCTGGGGATAGTTTTTTATTAGTTCTTGCCATGTTCTGTATCCCAGGAGGTAATGCTGCCATTCTCGCCAGGAGGACCCCTAAGTACCCTCCCAGTGGTCTAGACACCAAAGGATTCACCCCTGGCATGGCAAGAAGTCCTCCAGATTATGTGCCAGGGTCAAGGTCAATGTCAGTTCTGGTTGGTCTGAGACAGTGCTCATGGGGTTGTGATTTCCTAAATCACTATCAGTACTTTCACTGAGTCTGTATCCAGGTTGCCTGGGTTTGATTTTGATTCTTTTCTTCACACTATTTAGCTCCGTGCCCTTAGACATATTCAACCTCTTGATGCTTCCAACTATTTTTTTTTCCTTTTAAGTAGGAATAAAAACAAAAGTTTCATTATTGGGTTGTTACCAAGACCCATGAGCTCTAATTTTTAATTCATTTTAAATAGTTATTGAAATATGGTGTGTTCGTTAGGGAAACTGAAGCTCAAAAAAGTAACATTAAGTCAGCAAAAGAGTTTAGATTTGAACACACACACACACACACACACACACACACACATGCGCACACGGGTTTAGATTTGTACATGGTGGTCTGACAGCAGATCACAGGCTCTTCCCAGAGCTCTACCTTGCTCCCCTGGGTCTCTTCCAGAAGACAACAACATGGTGAAATTGACTTTCACTCTTTTATTCTTTCTTTCCCCCGAGATGGAGTCACTTCTTATTCTAGGTACTATTTGGTATTTGAATGTAGGCTGGCTCCACCTGGTGCCAGGGCAAGGACCAACAGCCACTTCTTAGAGACTAACTTAAGCCCGAGTCACACACCAGGGAAGGTACACTCAGATAAGTGCCCATTCTTCGGAAGCCAGAGGTCTTGGCTGAATGTGAAGGATCCACAGGCTTCAGGCCTGATCACGTTTTAGCTGCATTCATTGCTGGCATGCCTGACTCAAACCACAAGGTGGGACTGAAGGACTACATTGTAGTTAACATCTAGGAATATGAGTTTGAATTTTTGTCAACACCCATGGCTAGTGGAGACTAGATGGAAAAACTGTCGTGTCAGAGAGTGGAAATGCCTGAGAAAGAAGTCAGAAAGTGCTGTCATTGTTCTAATTCAGCCCAATGCAAAAGCTCTATAAGTCTTTCTGTTGTGAGTTCTCTGCTCACTGGCCGTCCTTCTGCATTATGGATTCCCATCTATGGCCTGGCCACAACCACCATGATGGGTGCCAGCTCAGAGAGTCAGGTCTTAAGCTCAGGGCTGTCAGGTATCTTCCCTGCTAACGGCTGCCTTGTTGGCCTCTATATCCTGCTTTACCCTTGCTGGTCTCCTTGTCACATAGCTCACTGTCCTTCCCTAGCCCCTTTCTGTCTCCATCCTTTCTTTTTCCTGCTCCTAGTCTCGTTTATGTATCACCACCCTCCTTTCTCCTCCACTCTGTTCCTTAGTCCCCTCCCAGGACTCTTTCTGACTACTCCACGCTGCCTTCCCACCTCACCATGTCCACATGTCCAGACATCTGTTCGCTTCGATCTGCTCTCCCGTCTTCACTCTCTCTCCTGGCTTCCTCTGTGCCTCTTTATCCAACCGCACCATGCTCTGGGTCTCCTGGAACCCTGCCCCTTAGCCTTCCTGCCTGTGAGGACTCCTGCTCTTCCACCCTGTCTACCTGGCTCTCTGGCCACCACCTGCTTCTGCTCCTCTCTTTGCAGATATATGAGTATCGAAATGGACACCAGGAGGTGGAGAGTCCATTCCAGGGTCGTCTGCAGTGGAATGGGAGCAAAGACCTGCAAGATGTGTCCATCACTGTGCTCAATGTCACTCTGAACGACTCTGGCCTCTACACATGCAATGTGTCCAGGGAGTTTGAGTTTGAGGCACATAGGCCCTTTGTGAAGACCACGAGACTAATACCCTTGAGAGTCACTGAAGAGGGTAAGACTGAAGCCTGGAGTCTCTTGGGGGGGGGGGAGTGGGCCTGTGATCCTTAGCCCATAAACTGATGCTCGCAGATGCAGACAGACGCGCCTTCCTTGTATGGCCCACTTCCTACAGCCTGCCGCATCAGAGTCCCTGCTGGTTTCCCCTCAAAGCAGACAGGCTAGTAGAGATATTAGGATAATGTCCTTGGTCCCCAAGGGAAAAAGGACAGCTTCCACAAGGCCTACATCCTTTTCCCTCTGGCCTTTTCCCTCTAACCCTAACCTAATATATAGGGAAACATCATCTCTTCTCCTGTTTCAAGCCACATATATCTCCAAACAGGTTGCTTTCAAAATTCAGTGAGCCTCAAGTCTCCTCAGTTTTAAAATTGAAAATTTGCAATTTATATTTATTTGCTCTATGTGTGTGTGTGTGATCTGTCTCTGCATGCACACACATGTGCCATGGTGTGTGAGGAGTTCAGAGGGCAACTCACAGGAGCTGGTTCTGTCCTCCTACTATGTAATAACAGGACTGAACTCAGTTCATCAGGCTTGATGGCAGGTGCCTTTGCCTGATAATCCATCTTGCTAGCCCTTCCTCATCCATAGACATGTGTCTATCCTCAGCCAGAGGTAGGAACAAGTTGACAGATCTCTACTTTTTAAAGTGTACGGACTCTTTTTGTTCTGTCAATAACCAAACTTGTGCATTCCCCTTGCAATCTGAGCTCATAATCCTAGGAGCACCTTACAAACTGCTTTTGCGCTGCTATCAGGAGATTCAGAGGTTCAGACCTTGGTTAATGCTCCTTCCCAAGGCAGGATGTGAACTCTGCACCTCCTTTTGGGTTTCCTCACCAGGAAGCCACCATGCCGTTCTCATACCCTCTCAGACAGTTTTATTACCAGCATGTTCTTATTGTTATCCTAAGATACAGGGAGGTGAGTTAGGCAGTGGTGCTGGCTGTGAAAACCAAAGTCACATCTAGACAGAGCTTGCCCTAAGCAAGGGAGTAGAGAAATCATAGCCTCTAAGTGACTGGCTAATTTAAAAATAAAAAGTATCACTGTTATGAAATCTAGGAGGTGACAGTTTCTGGGTCTTGAGGGTGAATGCCATTGAAACATTGTAACTAACTCAAGTGGAAGATCAGCCAGTTCTGAACGTGTAGCAGGCTCAGGCCACCTGAATGAAAACTTGTTGACCCACTTTCAGTCTCGGAGCCTGTGTCCTCTGGTGGGAAGTAGAGGGGTTGAACAGGAAGCTCTCTGAGGTATAAATCTGTTCCAATGTTCCATTACCCTCATTTGTTTATGCACTCTCTCCTCCCCTGGGAAGGGAGCCTGGTGCCATCTGGTGTTCACCACCAGGAACTGTTGGCTGGTGCCTGCCTGACCACAGGCAAGTGCCTGTGTCTCTCTCTGTCTCCTGGCCTCTCAGGCTTTGGCCTCCAGAGATGCTGGGGACACTGCCAGTGGGAATGTGTGGCATCACTGTGCTAGCTTGCCTGTTTGACACCAGAGCAATCCTCCTTGGGTAAGAAGAGAGGAAAAAACAAGTTCATAATTAGAACGGCAGGCAGAGCCGCGCAGGTGGTAGGCTGGGAAGGAGTTTGGATAGTATTTAATCCGGGTGCCTCCACATCACCCTTGCAGGTGTGACTTCAGTAGCTTAAGGTCCGGTGTGCATTCATGACTCCCCTTAGGCACATGGAGAGTGTAGGTGCGGTGAGAGTATAGGCGTGGCGAGGAGCAAGGGGTTTGCTTAGGAACATGAAGTGGCATGAAAATCGGGACCAACGCCACTCTCAAGTTAACCCTCCCGACTGCACCTTCTCCTTCTACCACCATCTCCTCCCCGAGATGCTTTCCCTCCATTTCTTGTTTTTGCCTCTGGAACCCCTTGGCAGGCCTCCCCACCCTTGTGTCACTCACAGGTACACATGACAGATGTTTGTTTGTCCCACTCCTGGGGCCCCAGGGAATCTGCCTGGTTCTCCTTGTTGGCTTTCTCCAGGCTTAGTCTCTCTTTCTCATTCTAAGACAGGAAGCTGTGGCCTCTTCTCCTACAGGTGACAGAAATACAGAGGGAACCTTCCTGTTACTACATCAGAGCTACTTCACCACAATAGAAATAACACACTTTAAGGCAAGCCTATCACATGCATTTATCATGTCATAGCAGGCACAGCAGAAGACAGGTGAGGGATGTTTTCATGTTCATACACTCCCAGCTTCACCATGACCTGCAGCTCCAGCAGGATCAAGAAAACCCAATGTCTAAGTGCCCTGCAATTGTGCTGTCCCTGAGTTCACCACTGCTAGTGTATGACACTGATTAATGTAATACCCACAACAATCCAGACTACTGTGAATCTATGTCCTCATTTTACAAACTGAGACTCAAAAGAAATGAGTATTCACACACACAGTAGGTAGTTTAATTTGGATGCAACTGGTGTGTGTGTGTGGGTGTGCGCGCACGCGCGCGCACGAACACACACATTATCTGCAATCATTCTGACTCCAGTATTCCTTTCCCCTCATCCTCATGTCCAGAACAGTCGAGTGAGAAACTGACAGGGAGTCAGGCATTGTGGATTCCTTTGATATCCTCATAGGTTCCTCAAGACTTGGTGTTTATTTGAACTATACTTAATAGGCTTCATCTTGTGCTGGGTCTGTGGGACACATGCATTCTGAACCTCATTCTTCTCCTTGCAGAGGGAGAAGACTTCACCTCCGTGGTCTCAGAGATCATGATGTACATCCTTCTGGTCTTCCTCACCCTGTGGCTGTTCATCGAGATGATCTATTGCTACAGAAAGGTCTCCAAGGCTGAAGAGGCAGCCCAGGAAAATGCGTAAGTCAAAGATGCAAAAGTAATGACAGCTTGCACATTCACAATGTCTGCTGTCAGTGGTGTCTGCATTCCTCTTCTTTTAAACAATTATTTATTTTATTTTATATGCATTGGTATCTTGCTTGTATGGATGTGTGAGGGTGTCAGGTCTCCTGGAAGTGGAGGTAGAGACAGTTTTAGATCTTCCATGTGGGTGCTGGGACTTGAACCAGGGTCCTCTGGAAGAGCAGTCAATGCTCTTAACTACTGAGCCATCTTTCCAGCCCCTACATGCCTCATCTTAAAAATCTAATAAAAACTCTGACAGAGCCAGGTGGTGGTGATGAACAACTTTAATCTCAGCACCCAGGAGGCAAAGGCAGGTGAATCTCTGTGAGTTCAAGGGCAGTCTAGTCTACAAAGCATTCCAGGACAGCCAGGACTGTTACACAGTGAAATGCTGTCTCAAAAAGCCAAAGAAAGAAACAATAAAGGATACATTATTATACGTATTTTACCAACCAGAAAATAGTAAGCTTAGAAGAGGTTCTGATAAGGCCATTTTAAGTCATAGACTATCTTAGTTACTATTGCTGTGGGAAAAAAAAATAACAAAAAGCAACTAGGGAAAGGGAGGATTCACTTCATTTATAACTTCTACATCACCTTCCATCCTCAAAGAAAGTCAGGCCAGGAACCTAGAAGCAGGAACCAAAGCAGAGGCCATGGGGAAAATTCTTTCTCATCATGGCTTACTCAGACCACCTACCTAGGAGTAACACCACCCACAGTGAGCTAGGCCTTCCCACATCGATCATCAACCAAGAAAATGCGCCACAGGCTTGACCACAAACCAGTTTGTTGGGATAATTTTTTTGTTGTTGTTGTTTTGTTTTCAATTGAGGTCACTTTTCCTAGCTTGTGTTGAGTTGACAAAACACAAGCCAGCACAGAGACAAATCAAGATTTGAATTCAGGCCAGCTGTCTCCTGGCTTGCACATTAAACCACTGCCAAAGCAGCCTCATAAGGTTATATGTTATCATAGCAGGTTGTAAATATTGAGTTGAGGCTGCCTCACAGAAGCACATTGCTGAGGTGAATGGAGAAGCTGGGAATTGAACCCAGGCCTTCTATTCTTTATATCTGTGTCACATTGGCTGTTCTCTCTCTGAATTCTGGAGCATGCCAACTCACCTGGGCACTGCCCTTTATTAGCTAAGGAGAGCCACAAAACATGCTCTTTCCTTTAAAACTTGGTAACAATGGAAAACCCCAATGAGGGGATCTAATTCCCTAGTGTGTGGCCTCTGCTTTCCCTAAAGACACATCACTCAAGAGTGAGTACATGTGACAACTGCTGGAATCTTTAAGGACAAAGGGCTAAGAAACCCTATAAGCCTGTTGTTTGGGAAAAGAAAATGGAGTTATGTGGGAAAAAAAAAAAAAAAAAAAAAGTCCACAGACATCCAGTGACACCGAAGAGGGAGTATCTAAAATGCCTAGGACATTGTAGCTTAGATATTTTTGATAAAATTTAAATTAACTCATTTTATGGTACCCATGATCTTAGAGAAATAAAAATTACAACAAACTATGTATAAAGGCAGTACTAATGATTGAATAGGGGATACTGAGACTTGGACATGATTACCTCCTATTGGGCTCACACAAGAAACAGAGTAGGAACTAAGAACCTCCAGTACAGTCAGAATCTCCAGAGGGCTACACAGGGTAAACCATGACAGCTTTGAGAAAATCCAAGGAACTTATTTATGCTGGTCTGACTCCAAGAACCAGAAAAGATTCTTGGAAATAAGTAATGACAAGTTTGCTATCACAGTATCTGGGATTTAAATAGATACTATCCACATGATCAAGGAAACTTAAGATGAGAAATTTGATTCAAAGCTACAGAAATAAGAGGTGAAAAAAAAAAAATTCCAAAGGGGCCCACTCTCAGCCAAGGCCTAGCAAGATGACTCAAACTAAGCGGGCCTAGATCTCCATTTGTAATCTCATCCCACCTAAAGCTCACTGAAGAAAGTAGTCAAACTGAGCAAGAGATGTTGTAGACAGCAGGATTAAGTCCCAGGAGACTTGAAAGTAAAGCATAGAAAATTAAGCTTGTTTAAAATAGAACAGGGTGAGGCTCAGGAGGAAAGCTTATGCCTCAACTGTGAGAAGACCTGGGTTTAGTTCCCAGCACCACACAAAAATGAATAAAATAAAATACTTTCTGCAAAATAAATAAATAAATAAATAAAATAAAGAACACAAAGCCAAAAAGAAAACAATTTGCTAGAAAGATCAATCAGAGTTGATAGAAAATAAAACAAAACAAAAAAATGCTTTTTTGGGGGGAAATTATATACTGGTGACCAGCAAATGCAGGAGAATTATATGTACTCAGAGGAAGGAAAGACTTCCCTAACCTGAAGCATGATGTTTGTAGCCCTGTACTTAGTATGATTCATCCTAAGAGTATTTTACTTTAGAATGAAGTGAAAGCAATATATTTTCAGCAGATACTACTTCAGAGGTTGGATTCTGATGTCTTCTCAGATTAACAATACAGTTTGCTCCCTCCTGATGCTGAACAGTCACATCAACCTCCAGTCAGCAGGAGACACACTGTTGCTAACTAAGCTATGGTTATAGGTAAGGTAGCTGTGTTAAATGCATTGCCATCACTTAGCAGGACATGACCCTCTAAGTTAAGGATCATCTTATGTCCTGAGTAGGGTGAATGCATGAATCTAGACCTAAACACAAATTTCCTTTAAATAGATCAATGGCAGCTACTCACTTGGGTACTCTACATCAGTATCATCTGAGATGAAACCTTGGAAGAAATACTTACAATACCAGCAACATGACAAGGATGCTATCTCTCCCTGCTCCTATTTAATACTATATTTGAAACCTTGAGTAAAATGCTAAGAAATGCGTTTAGCTTCTTTTCCTGTTGTTATGATAAAAATACTCTGAAAAAAGGAATACAAAATGAGAATAAGGGTTTATTTGGCTCACAGTTCAGGAAGGGGCCAAGCAAGTCACAGGTGGGGGAACTTGAGAGGACTGCTCACTGTTACATCCAGTTACATCCACAGTCAAGAGCAGACAGTAGTGAATGCATGCATGCGTGATAATGCTCAGCGGGGTTCCTCCCCTTTTATAGGCCCAGGATCCCTGCCTAGGGGATGGTACCACCCACAGTTAAGATGGGATGTTCTGAAAACAATCCTTCATGGTTTTAGATGCTAACCTTAATCTACTCAATCTCTCACAAGTGTGCCCAGAGACTTGCCTCCTAGGCAATGAACTGACAATTACTGCTAATCATCACAAGTATAAAGAAAAGTGGGATGAGATATACAAAGAAAATATATCACCATTACTTACACCCAACATACCATTTTCTATACAAAATTTCCTTAAGCAACCTAGTTAAGAATATCTATAAGGTTGCTGATATAAATCCAACTTCAGTCATGTATCATATAATGTTCATTCAGCCACAGACCACATGTGCCATAGTGGCAGCTACTGACAGTTTAGTTTGTGTACTTATACTTCACGATGTTCATACAAGGACAAGCTCACCTCATAAGACATGCCTCAAAATATGTCTCTGAGGCACAGCAAAGCAAGAATCCAATGTAGAAGCACATTTAAATTCTTAAATTAGAAAAAATAATTAATTGCAATAAGGGCTGAGATTGTTTCACAGTTGAGAGCATTTGCTGTTCTTGCAGAGGACCCAGGTTCAATTTCTGGAACCTACATGATGGTGCATAACTGTCATCCCAGTTTCCAGGGGTCCAGCACCCTTTTCTGACCTCCATAGGCACCAAGAACAAACATGGTACACATACATACATGCATGCAAAACATCCATTACACATAAAAAAGTTTTGAAAAAAGAAAAACCTTTTAACTGCAATAATAATTGTTCAGCAGTACCTAGCAATAAATGAGAAAATTATAGAGCCTTACTGAAAAACATAAGAAAAAGCAAAATGGTGGAGAATGAAATCTCACTCTTCCAAGCAGTTCTTCCCCAAAATAATCTTCAAAGTCAATGAAATTCCAATAAAAACCTCTATTGGATTTCTTGGGGAGTCTGATAAATTCATCTTAAAGGTCATGCAGGAGGGAAAAGGGCCAACAATGCCTTAATCCAAAGCACAGCTTGATTATTTTAGGTTTTGCAAAGCCACAGGGAATTCCTCTGGGTTTTTCTGTTTACAACACTTTAAACAGGTAACTATCTTGTGGGTCAGAAGTTTGCCCACCCACCACTGACCTAAGTCAAAGCAAAAACAGCATGTCTGGAAGATGTTGGTGGCAGGATTTGTCTTAGGAGCTATAAAGATTGCTCATAAGGATACAAGACGATTGCTTCTCTGCCTTTTGGCTAAGGTTGAGTGAGAATCTAGCAGAGAGAAGTTAATAATTTTATCCATCTCTCTCTACAAGCCAAAATAAATTGGTGGCCATTTTTAAAAGTAGAATGTAAAACTTGAAAATTGTACTAATGGAGTAGAAAAAAAAATGTGTAAATACAGAAAATTCTTTTTTTTTTTTTTGTAGTTGAATAAGAATTTATATCCAAAGCATATTTTACAGAGGAAATTCTTCAATAAAATACTAAAAGTGTAAATCAAAAATGGGAAAAATAATTTTCACTATATCATATGTAAAACAGCAATTGTTAATGATAAGAAGTTATATTAACAACAGATAAGGGCAAATTTTACAAACATGAAACAATAAAAGAACTTAAATATTTCAGGAGAAAAACGAAATAATAGAAGTAGAAAACAAGACAGCTTGCAAATATATGGAGATGCTCAACTTTACCAGGAACCAGGCAGATGAAAATTAAAGCCACTATGAAACACAAATTCGTAGCCATTCGGTTTAGTCAAAATTTCCATCTCTATCCTGATGATAAGAATGATGAAAAGTGATGTCTGCACTGTTGGTGGACATGTTCATATGCAAATATGGGAGGGCCATTGCCATATCTGCTGAGAGGCAAATTGAAGATTTGTCTTGGGAAGACCTACCTATAAGGAGATACAGAGCTCTTCTGTACACAGCTTTGTCCCTGGGTCACATGCCTTCCTGTTTCCTACACATTATTCACCAATGACTACTAAAGCACTACCTTTTTCCCCCTCCCACACCCTCTGCAGGTCTGACTACCTTGCTATCCCGTCGGAGAACAAGGAGAACTCTGTGGTACCTGTGGAGGAATAATGTGGTGTGACTTGAGGTGATGTACAGGGTTTGGGAAGAGTAAGGTGGGTGTAGATGACATGCCATACAAATGTCATTTGGCATCCACAATTGAAGCAACATTCAATTTGGTCTTTTCTACTCTGCATAGCAGTCCTGCCCTCTGGGAACTTTAAGTTAATGGTCAAGTCACAATGCCCTCCATTATGTCAAACCCTTCAGAAGCTGAATTTATTTTGGCTTCAATGTTGGGCAACCCAATCCCCTTGCTCATGATAACAAAGGCATAATAATTCTCTCATTCCCTCTTTGGTCCAAACGGTTTTGGGAAGAGCTGGGCTGGACTTTCTCAGTGAGTTCTTCTGTTGCTGGTAGGTGATCTGAGTACTGAGGGACTTGGATGTTCCCAGTTCAGTGATGTCAGCAGCATCAGCAAAGTGCCCCAGGAGTCCCATTGCATCCGTCTTTGTATTCATCAACCATCCACCCAACTGTGAGGTTTTATCTGACCTCTGAGCTCTATTGGAACTCTACACATCTTTCCTGAACTGAAGAGCCAATACCTCTACATAGAATAAACCTCACTTTGTCCTTGCTTTCAAGCAAGTAGATCCTAACTCAACTAAAGTTGTCCCTTATGCTCCAAATGACTTTACATATGTACTAGAGAGTTGTATTCCCTCTGCCCTGTCTGCAATTGGGTCGTTCTCCACTGCTACAAAAAGAATGGATGTATAACTGAAGGAAGCACTGGTTAGTTTGGGCTAAAGCCAAAGCATGCCATGCACTTAGATTCATTGAAGTCAGTTTTCCCTCCTAAGCCCATGCCCTGCTTCTCAACACCAGAAAGCAGCAATGTCTCTCCAGGGTATCCAGGAACATCCTCCATGTGGCCTGGAATATGCTTTGGAGCTTAGTGTTTCAGGGCTAGATCTCCATAATTCCAAAGGCTTGCAGCAAACCCAGGACTTCCAAGAGCCAAGGAAGGATCCAGGGCAATTTCATTGCATCTTGAAAGTGATACAACATACTTCTGATATTGGAAACATGGATGTGTGTTCTTTCTGGACTGAAATTGCTCAGTTGTTCTTTTCTCAGTGTCCGTGGAACAGTATTATTCCTCATTTTACAGGAGGCAGCTGAGACTCACATGGGGATGAATGGGACATTTAGGAGATTAAAGTGGACAAGAGATTTCAATGCTACCAACCTCACATTCCCTGAAGCAAAAGATGTTTTGAAGACTCTGGCGTGCAGCTTGGCTATAAGTCATGCCACTTGCCCAGCAGAAGCTAATTATGATAGATTCAGGGAACTGGAAAGCAGGCAAGAAAACCCAGAAGGCCTGAGACAGACCTGCAGAATTTCACACAAAGATGTATGAATCTGAAGCATGCCCCCAGAAGATGCAGCACCTGAGGGTGATACCTGTACAAACAAAAATGTTTTAGTGTGCAATGGATGATGAACAAACTGGCAAAGATGGGCGTGTAGCTTCTAAATACCTCGCCTGTAGATCTGTAATGTTTGGAATTTGGTGTTTGTGTATCCTCCCAGAATATCTTAGTCAACATCTCACTATTTCATTGTAATGACTGTTCTAAGTGCAATATTCTTTAGCCCCTACAGATACCGAGGACAGGAGGCCTTATGGGATATAAAAAGATCGAAGTGGGATTCAGTAAGAGAAATGTCCCTCAGATCTGGGGAGGCCTGTAAGAATGACCATTCTCTACTCCCATGGGGGTTTGTATGACAAGCTCGCTTTTTCACCCCTTCCATCACTGGGGCATACTTGAAACAAGACCCTCAACATAAATGAAAAGCATCTAATTATGTTGGAGAAAACATTTGCAATAAATTCAAGATCCTTCTTCTCACCAGTTAATTTTCCACCCTATGCTTCTGAAATAAAAGTGACAACAGAACATTTTTTTAAAAATACTTTACATAGGGAAATAGACTTGAATTAATGCAGCATTTTCCTAGCAATGGGCTAGTTAGTCCAGACCTTGTGGTGGTAGCAAACTACTTCTTCCGTTCTACTGTCTGCTTAGCCATGCATCTAACTTGTGACTAGGTGGTATGTGTGACTGCCTGTCCTCTTTATTCCTTTTCCTAAACAGAATTCCAACCTAGATATCAGAATTATAATGAAGCGGAATGACACAAATCATGTGTCCCTTACATGACAGTTTCTCTTCCTTCTTCCCTTTTCTACAATTGCAATCCTTCTTATCCTTGGTACCTTCCTTACATCTACAGGGCTTCAGAAGCATTTGGCTCATTATTTTCTCTCTCCTCCACAACTACTCCAGTGATGTGAATGCTGTTGATGCTCAATGCTACAATGAAAAAACCTGAGGTCCTTGGCATCAAATAGCTTTACTAAATCACAAGGTCATCTAGCCTGCTATACTCAAAGAGCTAGAGTCCTAGTCTTCTCTCTCCCATCTCAGTCTCATTTCACTTCCCAATTGTGCCATTGCTGCTTGTTCCTCCCTCCCTCCTGTCAAGCCCTTTCTTCTCTCCATTGTCCTCTAAGCTTCCTACTCCTTGGCTTCTTTACCCTTTCCTTCTTGGTGAACGCTAGACACATGCTTTGGGAGTCCATCCCATTCTATTTTTGTCTGGTTTGTTTGTACATGGTAGTTTATCCAGAATCACAATTGAGTTTCCTTTGGAAGATTATGACTATAACCCACAAGGTTGGTACTCACTATCCTACTTAAAATTATCACCACTTCCCTTTCTTCCCATATTTCCACTTAGAATCCCAGACTAGATGTGTACCATGCTGGAGTGTTTTCTGGTGTGCTATTGCTTACCCAAGGGCTTAGAAGAGTTCTCAAGGGCTATAATCACTTAGAAACCCCAACGTTTGTCTTGGTGCTGGGTATTTCCCGTGACTGATCCTTAGCCATTTACTGAAGGTCACACTAGGTTGGGTCTGATTTTCCCTTTCTTTAACATCTGTGAACTTGGCCACTCAACTCAGTTGGTCCAGAAAGCATCTTGCCCTGTGACTCTTACTGCCAGCTAGGTCTTGAATCAAACCACAATCCCTGAGTTTTAGTGCTTGCTCTTATCTTAGACTTCACTCTCAGTCTGTTTGACAGCATTACTCTTTGGTTTATCCACCCTAACATAACTGTACATGCCAGCTTTCTGTGGAGTTTCTGGGATCACTCTAGACATCGAACTAGAATTATTAGTAGAAGAGGAAGTTTTCAAGCATGATTGTGCCAGGAAAGACAGCGAGGGGGAGGGGACGGGGGGGGAGGGGGGTCAAGGAAAGGGACAAGGCTGAGGGGACAGTTCACTACGAAATGTGCTCCCCACACAAACATGAGCACCCGGGTGTGATCTCCAGCACCCATGTAAACAGCCAGGCATTGTGGCACATTCCGGTACTCACTGTGCTGGGAAGGAAGAGACAGGAAGATCTGTGGGCCTCACGAACCAGGTCACCTGGCTTAGCTTACTTTATGAGCTCCAGGTGAGTGAGAAATCCTGTCTCAAAAACAAAACCAAAAAATCCAACAAGGTGGACAGTGCCTGAGAAATGATACCCAAGGTTGACTTCTGGACTCCACATGTAAATGTACACAAGTTACAACCCATATGCAAACATTTGTAAACATGAACACACAGACACATGCGCGTGTGCGCACATGCATGCACACACACATGCACACAGAGGCTAGGTCCAGTGGTACACTATTGGAAGCAGGAGGATCATAAGTTCAAGGCCAGTTTCAGCTACATATCAGGTAAAAAGCTAACTTGGACTACATGAAATCCTGTCTCAAAAAAAAAAAAAAAAAAAAAAGAAAGAAAGAAAGAAAAAAGAAAAATCTAAAACACACACACGCACACAAAGGGGGGAAAACAGAAAAGAAACAGTGGTTCACTCTCTTCACATCACACTACCACTACATATCAAAACATAAACTATGAACTGAGCACAGTGATGGATGCCTTTGTCAGAATCTGAATCTACTGGGTGCAAACCACATGGAAATGGTCATGATGACACCTTTGCAGGAAGAGGCAAGAGCTAGACACATCTCATATGTATTAGCAATCTTTTCCATGTTTGACAGGGAATCAAAGTGTCACACACACACACACTCACATACACACACACCTTCCTTTCACTTCTGTTTTATACATGAGAAAGCCTGAGTTCTATGAATTTACCCAGTCACTGCAAATGTGTCTACATAGGACCTGGTATGCTTGCTCATCAATCTGATCACATTAACACACTGTCAAATACTAGGTTAGTCTCTCAATAGACCCCAAGGTCTTAGGTCTGTAAAAGTGTGTGTGTGTGTGTGTGTGTGTGTGTGTGTGTGTGTGTGTGTGTGTGCACGTGTGTGTGTGCACGTGTGCACTTGTGCATAGGCCCACAATTCCAGTAAAGTCTCTGTTCATGTCAATAAAGTGTCTCTGAAGACAACATGCTCTGGGTTTGCTCTGCTTACAGCATGCGGCTGCTGCCTACTCTGCCTCCCACCTAGCACACAATCTGCCCCACTTCCTGAACCGAGGAGACTAACCCTAGAGAATGAAAAATACTCAAAAGTCTAGAGCTAAACATGCTAGATGTGGGATCTAGATTTTCAATCCTTCCTATCCTCTGCACAAATACAAAAGAACACAAGAGAAATGTGCACTCTTATCTAGCATCACACATTTCCTAACCAGGTGTGGAGATGCTAACTGCAAGGAAGATCTAATGTAGGGAAGGCTCAGGTGGCTTCACATTTAGGGAACACAAAAGCAATGCTGTCTTCTAGTATCTAGCTTCCTAAAAAAAAAAAAAAAAGCCAAGATCCCCTTAAAGCTGAAAGCATAACAAGAAATTGTGAGGGTTCAGGCCACCAAAACTGGTTGTGGGATTTTGTTTTGTTTTATTTGAGGGGGGCCTTGAGGCAAATGTTTCTTTGTGTCTCCCTGGCTGTCCTGAACTTGCTCTGTACACCAGGCTAGCCTCAAACTCAGATCTGCCTGTCTCTCAAGTGCTGAGATTAAAGATGTATGTTACCATACCCAGCTCTACCACAGTTCTTACAACAATGCTGTCTAAGACTAAAAAGGGGGTTGAGAAATGGCTTCGTGGTTAAAGGTGCTTGTGGCTCTTCAGGAGGACTGAAGTTTAATTCCCAGTACCCATGTCAAGTGGCTCACAACCACCTGTAACTCCAGCTCCAAGGAATCTGATACCCTCTCTCGTCCTCTGAAGGCACCTATACTATACTCACAAGCACACACAGGCATGAACAACAGGTAATTTAAAACAAATCTTTTAAAATACATGAAGATTAAACTTATTGCAGTACAATCCCAGCTGCCATACTAAGATATATATATATATATATATATATATATATGCATGTCTTTATAAGAGAATTATGAAATGACAGATGGGACCCACGGCCACATTACTTCTTAATAGTGACACATGAGTGTACTCAGGTATGACAGTTAAAACTCTCTCCCTCCAAGGCTCTTAACACATTGAAGAAGTAGAAAGATTGTAGGATCCAGGATAGAAATGAGTGCTGTTTGACTCATTGATCATGATTACACAATAATGTTTAAAACCTGAGCAAGACAGTGCCTTTTATTCCATCATGGATGGGGTAGGAGCTAATAAGGCCCTACCCCTCCCTGAGGATCTACTGGGGAGAGACAGGAGTTTTCTTTAGTGGTGTAGCCACTGATAAGTTGCTCAGGCTTTCCTAAGCATCCCTCCTACCCATGCTTATACAACAACCTAATTGATCCCAGTGAGTTACAAAAAGGCATGGAGGTAGGAGGGGGAACAGGCATAGATAGGAGGGGAAAAGAGGGAATGGAGATGGATGAGATCA